TTTTCTTCTTTTTTTTTTTTTATTTATTTATTTATTTATTTTGAACACTGGAGTCGGTGGTGTGAGGGGTGGATTCACGCGCGAGGAATGCTTTCGTCCGACGTGCCTGATGACGAATTTCGTGACAACTTGGTCTCGTTTTTTTCAACCCTTTTTTTCTTTTCTCTTTTTAACTTTTTTTTTTCTTTTGGTATTTTTCTTTTTTAAGCGGCTGTCTTTCTCTCACACACGCTCACTCTCTCTCTCTCTCTCTCTCTCTCTCTCTCTCTCCCACTTTCTTTCACCGAAACGCATACATTAACACAAACACACACACACACCCACAAACAAACATACACACGTGCACGCTTACGCGCAATCTTTCTCAATTTTTTTTTTGTCTATCTCACCCTTTTAACATGCATTCGTACATTCGTGCTCAAACTCGAACAATTCTCGTAATCCTTGTATTTCCTTTCATTCGTTTCTTATGTATTTTTACCTTCCCCCTTTCCCCTTCCCCCTTCCCTTCCCTCCCACTCTCTGTCTCTTTATTCTTTTCTCTACCTTCTCCTCGCAAATTTCCTCCCCTCTTCCCTCCGTTCGGTATTATCCACCTAATAATAATAATCCCAGACGATGATGCACTAACTAATTTTCTCAACGTCCCTCCCGTTTCCTTATTTTTCCTCTCCTCTCCTCTCCTCTCCTCTCCTCTCCTCTCCACTCCTCTTCTTACCCTGAACACGTCGTCGTCTTCCAGACTTCGTTTCGCACGGAAGAAGAAGCCGCTCGCTGTCGTTACCGATTGGTCGTCAGACGATTCGTCGAGATCCCTTTTCCTTTTCTCCCCTCTCCTCCCTATCCACCCTTATTTTCACTTACTCTTATCTCTTCACCTATTTTCTCACCTATCCCTTAATCCTCCTTTTTTTAAATCCGCCTATTTTTGTCTCTTCTCCTTTTCCTTCTTCTTCTTTTTCTTCTTCTTCTTTTTTTTATTATTCTTGCCTAGTTTTTAATTATTTTGTTGTTTGTTTGTTTGTTTTCTTTTCGTTATTCTTTTTTTTGTTTTTAATTTTCTTCTTGTTATTATTGTTGGTTGTATATTTGTTCTTATTGTTGTTGTTGTTGATGATGATTTGCAGTTAATTGGTTTATCTCTTCCTATTCCGATTTGTCTTTTTCTCAATGGCTATTGGACTGGAAGCACCCCTCTCGTATTGACGAACTGGACACGGATCGCACGCGCGTGCGCACGACCGAACGCCGATTGCGCGCAACGCGCGCTGCGCAACACACGCCACGCGTGTTCGCTTGCGCGCATGCGCGCGACGCGACGGATTTTCTTTTGTTTTTATTTTTTTTCCCCCTTTTTTCTTTTCTTTTCTTTTCTTTACTTTTGTTATATACTTTTATTTGTTTGTTTGTTTTGTTTTGTTTTGTTTTATTTTATTTAACTTTTTTTTCCTTCCTCTTTTTTATTTTTGTGTGTTTGTGTGTGATTTTTTATTATGAAGGAGGTCTACGTTAGGCACCGTAGGGAGTTACAGCTGCTCTTCGACAACTGTCCCAACATCGGCCACCACGCTGCCACCGTCTCCTTCACTGTAAACAATTATCAATTCAATTTACACACCTTGTTTCTTTTTCTTTTTTTTTCTAATTGTTATTATTACCATTACTTTTTATTCACCTAAATACGAACATCGTGTAGAGATCGGTTTGACCAATGAGTATCCAATAATATCGTCGACATTTTGCATTTTTGTTTGAATTCACAAGGGTTGCTCATAAAGCGACAGTTTTTTTTGTTTCTTTTTTCATGTTCTTTTACTTATTGGTCAATCTCGTATTTAACGCACACGCATTGTTTATTGTATTTTGTTTTTTTTTTTAATCGAACGTATTAGGTTGACCAATGAGTATTCTCGCTGTAGTCAATATTTTATTATTGAATTGACAATGATAGATAATTGGATGTAGCATTTTTTTTTTTGAAATCTCTTTACTTATCGGTCAATCTAATAAAATTCATAATCTTATAAAGTTTATATATACTGGATGATCTTTACCTAGTAGTCAGACGTCAGTCTCGATGCTCATGCAGGCTGGATTAATATTATTATTGTGGCGAGGGTTGCAGTTGGGCTTCTTCGTCATATCTGGTTGCGCCAGTAGAATGCCTTCTTCCAGCTCCATTATATCCGACGACGACTCCGACATCGAGCTCTTCTTCATGTGCTGACCTATATTTATTAAATAAACCATTTAAGCAGAACTCGTTAATAATATGTTGTTAATAATTTTTCGTTTAACAACGACGTAATAGAATTTCAACAAATTTCTTTGTATTAAAGTGAAACAATAGTTCGTACATTTATCCCATTAAAACTTTACATTGAAATTGCATAATAAATTATTCGTCGTTGTCCGAAAAATTCGTACCGATTCTAACGAAAGATTGAAACGCAATGCACATTTATGTTTTATAATTAATATATTTATTCATAAAATTATATATATCCATCTTCAAAAAGGTAACTTGAATAAATCTGTATTTCCAAAAATTTTCAGGATTTTTCGACAGCCTAATAAAATTTACTTTGAATATGTTAATATAAAAAAAAGAACCCGTGCACACTAACTTACGCGGTTCACCCCTAATATTTTATATTCTTATTTATTTAATAATAACGGATTAAGACTTAACGAAGTGTAGATGTTTTGTGTTTTGAATATTAAAAATAAAGATAAAAATGTATGTCTACTTTAAAGAAAAAAGACGCTGAACTTTAAAGATTAAGTTGCTGAAGAAGTCCCTAATAAAGGGACGAAACGTCCAACTTATCAAAATTAAATTCTACTTCTTTTTTTGATATCCAAATTCCCTATGATACCTTCTTATTAAAAATTTTATTTTTGGGGACGAGAGAAACACAACTGATTATTTATTTTTGTTTCTTTTTTTTTTTGTTTCGTTTACCTAACGTGCCAGGGAGATACGGACAGCTAGTCACGTGATTGAAGTTCTGTGACTGCATCTCTTCCTGGTCAGTCTCACGGTGATAGAAGTAGTTGAAGTTGGAGACGATGACGGGGACGGGTAACGCGATCGTCAATACACCCGCGATCGCACAAAGGGAACCAACGATTTTCCCCCAGACTCCCACGGGCCTGTAACATAAAAATTATACGACTCGATTCGGCCACGTAATTGGGTGCGAAGAGCGTGTAAAGGTCATTCTTGTATATATGCTTTGGTGCTAGGTGTGGTGTCACTAGATTGTGTGAGTTTCTGCGGTGTCGAGTCGAGTGTGGCTCTCTACTTTATGCGGTATGTTTTGGACTCGTACACTGGGTGTCTCTTTTCAACTCATAATCGACCATAAACACTTAGATTTTTATTTATTTCAATTATCTTTTTCATTTCGTTATATTATATATATATATATTACTTCGATCTTTGATATATTATTTAATAGAAAGAATATATAAGAAATATATTTTCTTTTATAGAATTATATATTTTTATCCAATTATATATTTAGGACAGGTATGTGTGTGTTTATTTTGAAAAAATATATATATATATATTTTTATTTTATTTTAAATATTTATATGATGTAAAACCATATATGTTTCTTTAATTATTATTAATGAAATTATTTTCAAAACAAGTATACGTTTATCGAGAATATTTTTTCTATTATTTAAATTAATATCTATATAAATACTGTAAATAAAAAAAACATATACAAGAAAACATACTTCTCTCGAATTATTTTTATTGAAAAATTTGTTTTTATTTTATGTGTTCATTTGAGAATAATTTTGGTTAGTTTGTTCGAACAGATAAATGTTAATTATTTTAGATGGTTAAGCTGGGGTGGTTTGGATTACTTGAAAAGATATGCTTGATTATTAATTGAAAAGTTAGACCCTATTTGTACATACCGACCGTCTCCGTGGCTTCGCAGCACTTTATAAAACGACCGTATGTACATATAACCTTGCAATACGCGTCCAATTTAAGCTGCCGGCTCTTTAGACTACTAGACTAAAGGACCAATTTTAGGGCTCGCTAAGTAGGCTTCTTCATAATGCGCGATCTATTATGCTCTATCGCGATATACGATGTAAGATAAAGGATATTAAATAGCCATTACGTGCTGGTGATCCTTCTAAATTACGCGAAGCTTCGGTGTAAACTATATTATATTATGTAGAAATATTTATACATGTACATACATATATAGATATAT